GATGCTAACGCTAACAGTTTCGTGTTGTCTTCGAGGCTGTCCAAAAGTGTGAGCGCGTGCTGAATCACTTCACTACGAGGTATTGTCGCCTCCTGGTGCCGCGCCAATGTGATCAGAGCTTCTATGAGACGGGGCGTAGGAGATGTAGTTTCTAGTAAAACGAATTGGAGGTTTTCTTCTTCTGCGGCGATAGCTTTCAAGTGCTCGGTGTAGCGCCCATCACCAACCCGAGGGTCAAACCGATGCTGGGAAAGGTAATCACATGCGGCTTCGACCAGGGAGTCGATGACTGTGCTCGGAAAACGGGAGGGTGCAAGGATGTATCGCCGGATGACTGGAAGGACAAAATATCCAGAAGTGCGATGTTCGACGAGTGACGTCTCTTGAAGAGTTTCCAGAGCTAGTGTGAGCTTATCGAAGTTCTGAGCCCATAATGAGTCCAGATTCTCGAACGTCGCACCACCAGGTAACTTCGCAATAATCGCGAGAAGGGTCAAGGCCTCCGGAACCCGTTTCATGGGCGCGCTTTCAACAGACAAACCGATGCATCGCTCCATGCTGTGTTTCGCACCGGTTCCGGATGTTTCTAGTAGAGCCGTGCCGCGCTGTTCATATTTTTGCAAGAGCTTAGCAGGAGGTAGTTTCGTGAGCTTTGCATAATTTGCCATGAGGGTAATCGCCAGTGGCATGTCGCCGATCATTCTGAGAAGGCTCAGGAGATTTGGATCATTTCGGAGGTGGGAGTCGGTTGTGTCACCGTAGATATCCAAATAAATCTGGAGCGCTGCGTCGCGATCAACAGACTTGAGATCAAGGGAATGCCACGCGATCCGCTCCCTGCACGGTGGGCTGGAAGAACGCATCGTAACCAAAAGCGAAACCTGGGGAATCTGTTCGATCCCACAAAGGATCCTCTCTACTTCAGACTTTGCCTGTATATCATTTATGTTCCACGGTGTCTCGAAGTTGTCGAGCAGTAGGATTAATGGTTGGGACGAGCGACAGAGAGCTTCGATGATATCCTCAAAAGCACGGACAGAACGTCCAGCAATTCCTAGGGATGAGCAGAGTGTTTCAAGCAACAGATAGACGGACGTTGCATTCATGCATGGGACCCATACCTGGCTGTAGCCGGGAAAAGATTGTTTCATGTCAGGATGGTTCATGATAGCAAGGGCTGTCGATGTCTTTCCCATCCCACCGGGGCCCAGGATGCAGACCGGCAGACCTTTTGGTTTCTGCGTTAAGATGGATGCTACTTCGTTGACCTCCTTTTCACGTCCGTGGAAGATACGTGTCTTCGAAGGCATGATTCCGCTCAATCCAGCATACCCTGATGGTGAGGAGTGGTGGAAATCGCTTATGAGAGACTTGATTTCAACCATGGCATTTTTGGCTCCCTTGATATCGTCTCGCATATCGCGCAAGTCCTGCTTTTGGCCTTCGTAGTAGTCGATTATCTTCTTCTCCATTTGGGCCAGACTGTTCGAGTGATCGATTCCGCGAGCAAGCTCAAAGATGAACCATCTCAGATGCAGGGAAAGCATTTGTCATGGACATACGCACATCGAAGGTTTCTAAAGAATTATTCAAGCGGTCGACGCAATCTCGGACTTTTTCTTCGTTGAGACCTTTGAAGAACATAACGAGGAATGCGTGCTGAGATGCGATTTCGTCAAGCTTCTCCTGGATATATGTTAGGTTTCTGACAAAAAGATTTCTGAGGAAGGATTCAAGAAAAAAATGACGCTGAAATACTCAGTCCTCTAGTGCAAGGATGCTCTCCTTCAACTTCTCTTGGATCTCTTCTGCCTTCTTTCCTTTGGTTGCATCCACTAAAACAGCCACGAGCATCTTGATACGCAGCTTCAGATCCTCGGCACGTTTCAGTCTCGCATGACTTTCCTTCATACATATGAATGTCTGTTTCTTTTACGCCAGATCATAATGAGCTTACATCGCATGCCTGTATCAGCTTTGTTGCCGTCTTCACAGCGGTTCCAACACCAGGGATTGGAATTCCGTCTGCGACAGTCTCCAACACTTGGAGGAACTCCCTCGTGGCCTGCACTACGTATTCTCCCTTCGATGGGGTCCCCAGCTGTATACCGGCAGCTTCTAACTGCGATTCTTTGCGCAAAGCCTATGCCATCTGTTAAACATAAGTGTGATGACTGAATGTACATGTTGCGTACCGGTGCCAAGTTTTTCGGTTGGTCGAGCTCTATGTTTGACGTATTAGAGCTGGATAGGCATGGAATGCAAAACATGCGCATATTGGCACAGGTGCAACTTCAAGTCAGTGACGCTGAGGGTCCTCGAATCCATAAGGTTGGTTGATATAACAAATGCCTCATTGGAGCAACATGGAAGGTATAGGTGTGATAAACAACTAAGAGTCGATGGCATGAGATGGCATGGGGTTTCTGACAGTGATGTGTGTCGATGAATGCCAAGTTCATGGGTCAACGTATCCAAGAAGGGAGAGTAGAGGGACGAAGATCGAGGGGATTCATGCACGGGGCTGAACCATAAGTAGATTTCACTGTAAGGACTTGTCGGGGGTGTAGAAAGGTGGCTTTGGTGAATAGTCAAGGGGACTTGCCGCAAGGATTTAGAGCAGAATGAATGACCCGGAAACAAATCACGTCGGCAATCGGAACTCCAAAGCGCCTCATCAGCTGAATCCTAATGTCAGATATCCATCAAGGGCAAGACATGACTCAAAGATTCAATATGTTTAACTAGTGTTCGGTACAAGTTTCAAGGTAATCTACGGTATATTTTTTGCAGAAAGGGTATCAAATCTTGCGTCTACCACCAAACTCATCTACAATCAGGAAAATCGAAAATCCAATGGATCGCCACCCTCAGAATACCATACCTGACCATCTATTTCTACCTTCTCCAACCCCCTACAACAGCCAAAAACTGCGCGAACAAACGGCCCACGCTGCACCACGTTCATGCCCACCGCGCCCGGTGTGCGCAGCACCAACTCCCGAAGTGCAGGGAACGACGCGAGCCAACGCGGGAGGCGGGCGAGCATCGCTTCTGGAAGGGTGTACTGCGCGACCCGCAGTTCGAGGCGCGCGATGCAGTTTGTCCCCTGGGTAGGTACAGGTGCAGGTGGGGGCATTTGGGGTGGCGATGGCGGTGAAGTCCATGATGGGGATTGATATGGCAGTACCCCTTCGGACGTCCCCTTGGGAAACGTGGGACTGATATGCGTAAGCGCAGGAGATGCAGGTGGAGATGCAGGGGAGTGTAGCTCGAGCCGCATCCAATCTGCCGAGCTGGATTCGAGGGATAAGTCGAGCGCTAGATGGATATTGCGCGGCCCACTAGGCGCACTCGCGCCGATGCATGTGGCTGCGTTCACTCGCGACCCAACGATACCCGCGAGCACCTCATTCATCGCAGCAAAATCGAAATGCCGCCTGTAGTGCACGCGTGCGATTATGGTTACCTCTCTGAGTTTGGGTAGGGCCCCCGAAGCGGCAAGGAGGTACCTTAAGTATGCCGGGGCAGCGGAGAGGTGTGTGAGGTTGAGGCTATGGAGGTAGACGTCCTTGTTTCTAACTTCCTCTGTGTTGTTGTTTTTCTGCTCGGTAGGTAATGGTGCGTGTAGGCTGCGTCCGAGGTAGAGCCGCTGGATGTGCGGATGTCGAGCGAGGAACTGTGCGAGATCGGGATACATGAGCGAGCAGCGGTCGACGGTGAGGCTTGTGAGATGCGGTAGGGTGAGGCAAGGCAAAATGACCCCCCATGTGTTGATATAGACATCTAGGTTGCGTAAGGAGAGGGTGGAGAGGCTCGCGCGGTTGAGTGTGCGTACGGTCCACCCACAGAACTGCTTGTGCAGCAGCATAGACGAGTGAACATTGAATGTCTCCAGTGCTAGGACTTCAGGTGGTTTCTCAACAGTTGGACGTAGCCAGGTGATACCCTTCGGGCTTTGCACGGCATCGAAAAGCGCCTGTGCACCGCCAGCCAAAAGGCGCCATAAGTTGGAAGGGTACAACAACCGCGAAGGCGACAAGACTTCCCTGATTTCGTCGGCCGATGATAGCGTTGTCCACCCCGCGAGGCACACAGTCAGGGTTCGACACCCTGCAGCCACAACACCCTCCAACAGCCCTGAGATCTCCTGGGCGCGGTCCACCTTGTGAAGGCTGTGCGCCTCCTGAGAAAGGTCATTCGCCGCGAAGCGCTCAGAGTTGTTAAAATCGGGCTCTCTTGAGGCGAAGCTGTGTGTGTTGGTAAAGTCTAAGTGGGCCTCGTGGAGAGACGCAAGCTGCGGAAGTAGATGCGAGAGGGCGCGTGTATGTCGCAACACCGTGCGGTTAGGCCAGCAGAAGTTGAACGTGCAGCTCACGCAGCGCAGCGTAGGACGGAACAGGGCGGTGCTGAGCGCGTGCAGGATATCTGGCGCGACGTCGTCGAAGAGCACGAGGGAGCCGGAGAAAGGACTGATACCGTGGCGGGCGAGGTATAATGGCAGGGCAAGGTGGTGCAGTCTCCGGGAAAGTTTGGATATTGAATAGAGAGATTCTATAGACTCGATGTGCTCGAGGATGTATAGCAGGATCTCGTTGGGTAAGTCGAGTAGTGGATATGCCTGTGGTCGTTCGGGTTTTGGTTGGAGACTCTGGGGAGTCAGGAGCCCCACCCTAGAGGCTACCGCTAACAACTCGTTTCTGAAGGGAGAGTCGATCTCAAATACACTTTTAGCCTGGACAAAATCGGTATGAAGGTCGTCCTATAGCACCGTTAATTGATTTTTATTCGTATTGTAGCTCTCTAGGCTTACCATTATCCCAGTCGCGATAATAGTGGGTCTAGAGAATAGCAAGGGGTCTTATAATAGATCATAGCGCCAAATGAAGCAACGTTTTTTGCGTCCTTGTGACAGTTTTGGGACGGGGAGGGAAAAGGCTGTGAGAAGCGATGATCTTGATCAATACTTCATTGATCAACATAGTAGCGAGATAACACCATCCCTCTTAGCTCAGTGGTAGAGCGCGTCACTAGTATCCTAGTTTGGATCATGACGAGGTCAGTCGTTCAAGTCGGCTAGAGGGAAATCCGAAATAGTAGCCACTTTTTAAATTTATTTATGGGCACTCCAGACCCCGACACAAAGCCCGATACTCAATAGGGAAGTACAGAGTAACGGTTTTGGAGTGGTTTTGGGGGTGGTTTTGGAGCGGTTTTGAGAGCGGTTTTGGGCCCTCTCTTTCGAAAACCAGTGACTCCAGGGGCCTGGTTTATGCTGGTTTTCGTTGAGATTCAGTCGGAGCTTGAATTACTTCGCCTGTTACACAGCGCCTAGAGTACTGTATTCTAAGACTCAATGGCTAAAAAGTCAAACTCGCCGAGGCAGAAGAAAATTTGAAGACAAAGAAGAGCCAAAAACTACCAAAGAAAAATAACGACCCTTGGCAAGGATATCAAGGGTTCGGAAGGGAAAAAACGTCGTACAGTGGCAGTCGTGTACATTCTTCAAGCTTTCTATTCTGTCCAAATTTGTATGCTAAATATTTATATTCTAATAAAAAGCTGGTCAAAGAAGAAGAATGAAGATACCACGTCCTCGTTACTCAGCATCAGTTGTCCAGTATCTTATCACGATGATTACACGACATCGTATTCTAAGCTCCGCCGGCATATGCCACTAGTGCCGAGCTTCCGAAACTGGTTTTCGAGACTTTACAGTCAAAGTTGAAGTGGTTTTCGAGGCGGATTTGGAGCTCGTCGACTCAAAACCGCTCTCAAAACCACCTCAAAACCACCCTCAAAACCACCCGAAACCGCTACTCTGTACTTCCCTATTATCAGAGCTTCGAGATCTTTTGCTCATGAAGCTACAAGTAATTTTATAGAAGATTTTGAGCGCGATAAAATTCTATATTTTTCAGAGCGATATCTGTTGAATTAGATTTTTAAACAAGGTATTCTACAGAAGTACTTGATCTTCGAATTCTCTACCAAAACTCGCCGCTTACACCCTTATTGATATACAAAGTTACTCGTGGTGAACGTTTGAACAAGAATACTTACAGGGCGCATTTAGAGAACAATACATTCAGAGGATCTCGAGTCCACTGGTGGGTTCCATTCCGTTGGTATGCATGCCAGTACATCGTCACATACAAAAAAAAACTGGGGAAAGCCTGGCATTCCCTCTAGCCGACTTGAAAGATATTAAGCCAGACGATTCGGAAGCGTAATGGCTTCTTAGGCTGACTTCTCTAATGCATCGGAACGCCTACAGGCCCGACGATTTGCTATCCACGTCGCCTGTCTCGATGCATGATCAGTACGAAAGACTGTTCATTATTGCGAGTCCCTCTTAGCTCAGTGGTAGAGCGCGTCACTAGTATATATATCTAGACTTTTCAAGATTGTGATCATGACGACACAGATTATACCGTCGAGCCGACACTTATTGCGCCTAGGAATCAGAGCGGAATGCTGCATCATGCTCATAGAGCAGCCTAGGACCAGCCGTGGTCAGTGACCAGCGGCAGAAGCGGTCTTTTAGCGATCCTCAGACTCAGACCCAGAGCCCCGCATTCCCGAGTGTCCGATTCCAGTGACGACTCGGCCTTTACATTTAAAAGCGGAGTAGGGTGTCATTGGTATTGACAGTGCTAGACACGGTTAACACGGAACATTGTAGTTGCTTGGTAAACCCCCACCAACCCCGAGAGTCACTGCTGGGCCGACGTGGTCTAGAGAATTTGCACATGTAGCCCTAGAAGTGTCGTTCGAAGATGTCGACAAAGAGGGGGAAAGAAGCCCCTTTGTCGCCCCTGGGCCAGAGCCTGGCAGCGTCATCTCGGTCAGATGACGATGATATGATGAGAAGACAAAATGGAAATTAAACGCCGGCTGAGAAGACGTTAAAAGTCAAAAACGTGCGAGTGATGGGGTCGCCGCGGACCTGGCAACGACCATGATGACTATACTGACCTTTCTGTGACGCAGGTACAGCTTTTTTTGGGTGCCAATTTGTAATTCATGGGTTACTTGGCATGCGGTGGCGGCATTGCGGATAGCTAGGCATTGCCCAATGTCGGCGAGGTAGGACTCGGCCCGCTTATGGCCTGGGGATTAGGCCTTCATGAAAGAGGTGCGTCATAGATTGCGGTTGCTTTGGCGGGTGCTCACGAGAACAGTTAGCGTCAGCCCCGAGAGTTACGATATCCGAAGTTTTGAGGTGATTGATTGAAAATGATCTAAAAAAAAGACTTGGCTGATAAAATAGGTTTGACAGAGTGGGATCTGCACAACGCAAGTTCTGTGAGGGCAGGCGAGCCAGGGCCCAGTACAGGCTAACGCCGCAGACGGCGAACAGAAGCGATGCACGATGATGCATTCATGAGAGGATGAACGTTGTATGTTGTGTTATAAAGGGTGAGACACGTGAAGGCGCCGAGCGTTTATATCGGTCTGTCACCAAATATGTGTTATCACTGCTTATCTCGTCATTCGCTTGAGGTTGTACAAATCCCCCCTTTCATCTCAACTCCTTTCAAGGTCCAACTTTCAAGTCCCTGTGTATTGCCCTCCTCGCCCGGAGATATTTTTCACATTTGTACACTTATTCCCGCCGTATCCACGCTACCTCCTCCAAGTCCGCTTTTTTCCTCCGCGGAAAGCGTTTTTGTTTTCAACGCCCAGTGTCCAAAGCTCCGTCCAGTAAGGCGAGTTGTTTTAAATATCGAAATTCTACCATTTTCTGAGAGGAAACTTGCGCAGATACCAGTGGTAGCATGATCGCGACCATCACCCAGAGGATGTCGCCACCGACTGCGCGAAACATGAATTCTGCCGGTGCCCCTCTTCCTATCATCCCTCGTCGAGTTCCCTCTGGCTCGCGCACACGAAGCGCACCTTCTTCCCCACCAGATTCATCCGCAATGCCGATAAAGGTCGTCGTCCAACACTCGACGCCGCCACTCGGCGCCCAGGACTCGGACTCGAGCAGCAGCGACTCTGCGAATCATATTCGCACAAAGCGTGTTCGTGCATTCAAGGCCACTGAGCAATCTACCCCGAAGCCTTCCAGGAGCACCAGCAGCGATAATATCGCAACCCCATCCCGGCGCCCACCACTGATCTACACGCCAGGCATCTCGCTACGGCAGACGACAGAAAAACTAAAAACCCGCAACTTCTCCGAATCTCATGCTTCCGCGTCCTCATCGTCGTCCGTTTCCCCATCCTCGGCGCCACCCACCTCCAACTCCTGCTTCGTGACCTCTTCCCAGTCCCAGCCGCGCCTCATCCGCAAAAAATCAGGGCAGCTTGTCAAATCATCGCTCAAGTCGTCCAAGTCCCTCTCTGTACTCACGCGTCCACTCGGCGCCGCCAACAGCAAGAGCGCCCCCGCGACCCCAACGCACACGCTCAAGGCGGTCCACTTCGACGCCCAGCTCGAGCACGTCAAGCTGTTCCTCGCCGAGCAGAAGCCGCTCGCCGTGTCGCGCGACGGCTCCCCCACGGACGACACCTCCGGCACAGACACGGACTTTCCGTCGTTCATATTCGGCGCGGACGACCCCCCGGCGAGTGTCTGGGCACGCACGCGTGCACTCATTATGCACACGCCCAACATGCACCCGCCGATGCCCGGCATGGACACGGATGTCGTGCTTGAGGAGCTACGCCTCGCGCCGGGCGCCGCGCCACGCATCGAGGGCCGCGTGCGTGTGCGAAACCTTGCGTATGCCAAGTCCGTCGTTGCTCGCTTCACGTTCGATGGCTGGCAGACGACCAGTGAGGTCAGCGCCCACTATACGGAGTCGCGAGGGCCGGCGGTCGATGTGTTCGTGTTCAGTATCCGTCTCGACGACTTGCTCCAGCGCATCGAGGGCAAGCGCATGTGGCTTGCGGTGCGGTACAACGTCGCAGGCCGCGAGGTGTGGGATAACAACGGAGGTAGGGATTATTTGGCAGAGTTTAGTGTGACGAAGCGCGAGGAGGTCGCGCACAAGGTCAAGAGGCTCGTCAAGAGGAGTGGCGGGGAGGACGCGGCCGAGAGTGACATAGCGAATCTGCGTAGCACGCTAGAAAAGGTCGTTCAGGCTGCGCCTCGGTCGACCAGCGGTGGTATCAATAACAATGCTCTAGGTACGCGCTACGACTTCAACGCGTCCTTCAAGGATATACGGACGCCGCCAGTAAAAAATCAAACTGAGCCTCCAAACCGCCGGCCAGCGCTACCACAGCTTACTATCAACACCAACACGGCCAGTGTACCAGCTCCGCCGCGCCACACCCGCACCCTTTCCTACCCAGCGAGCACCAATGCCACCCCGCGCCCCGCATCTCGAATCGCTGCCGTACCGCCCGTATCTACGACAACTGCCACTGCTCAGAAAGACTCCATCGCACGGCCCGAGGCACCCAAGGCCGCCCCGACCCCGCGGGTCAACCCCCCACTCGGATCGCCGCGGGATGCAGGCGACGCGCACGATGCCATACCGCCGCGCAACCACCGGCGGGGGTACTTTGGTGACCTCAAGGACACGAGCACGGTGCGGTGTACACCGCCGGGGACGCCGCCTATCTTTGTCAGTGGGCTCCCGGAGGATACGACGCCTGTGCCTGGGCGTGCGTATTCGTTCCCGCCTGCTCAGGGGGCGCCTGCAAGTAGTAGTGTTAGTGGACTAGGAGCGGGAGGGGTATTGGTAGAAGAGCAACCGCGAGGGAGGGCAGGTGCACGGGAGACGCCGAGGCACCTGTATGGCTTTGGGTATGGGTACGACGGCCTGGGGTTCTCGTTCCCCGATGCGGACCGGGACTGTGCGAGCGAGCATGAGCAGTCGACACCGTCGTTGAGTAGCTCCAGGGATACGTCGCCGTCGCCCACGGAGAGCTGTTTGTATGGCGAGGGCGAGGCGGTGGAAGGGGTCGCTGCGCGTTCCGGAGGTGGAGACGAGGACGGCGTCGGCCAGAGTCCGAGCACAAATTACAGACAGTTTTTGAACAAGTGCGTTCCGTCTCATTTCTGTGCCCCCTTTCTTCATAATTGATGTCATATTACCTAGGTTCTGCTTCTTCACGGGCCACCTC